CAAAATTAAACATATATTATATTGTATAACATATTTAATAAATAAGGAATTGTATTCCAGCATTTTATTAAATACATACTCTTTTAAGCTGTCAAATTATTTTATTTCAAACTTTTTATGTATATCAAGTTTTGATGACTTTTGTCTAGTTAACAACGTTAAAAGAAATAATTCCACACTATCCTTTAAATAATCAAAACTTATTACCGTCAACAAAACCAATAGACCAACTTGCAGATGTTTACAAGATATCCTAGCTCTTCTTATCTCTTGTTTTAAAAATGCAGGCAAAAAAGCGAATAACAAGTTTGCTCGGTTCAAGCAAAAAACGTCTTTAAGAACACTTTACTAAATATCACGTTAACTTTATGTCTTACAATTGCTTTCTGTATTCACGGGCTGGTGCAGTTTCGGTGTTAAAATTTATTACGCGATCGTGTTTTGTTATAATTGTGTAATTAATAATTAAAAAACAAATTTAGGTGTGTGTGTGAGTGTTGCTGATGGAAGAAGTCTACCTTTTTCAGTGGTAAGTGTTTAAAAAAATACTTTGATTACTGCATTTTATTAGAGAATCTAAAGGATAATATATTTGCACACACAATAATTTGATTTTGTTTCAAATGAATATAATGAATAACTTCATTCCATCCTCATATAAAAACTTTACAAAAGTAATTTGAAACTTGTTCATTTTATTAATAATTGTGTATAAAGTTGAATGTTATTATTTTTTATTTCATTTATAATCACATTCCCCTGGAAAAACTTTGGAAACTGTGTATTATACACATGTGTTAGGCGTCCTGTCTAAGGCACGGTTTTCCCGGAGAAGTTGTTGCACAGGTGCATCCTTATCTTTTTCCAAGCTTATTGACAATTATTATATTGTTGAATTTCTTATGAAGTTAATATTTCAGTATAAAAAACAGTAAGAAACTGAAACGTATACGGTATTTAAACAACTGCCTTTGCTAATATTTCCTGTATTAAATATCTTATGAAACAGATTAACGTGTGTATATAAATAAATTACAAGTCAATTAAACAAACAACATTTGAAATTAAAGTCAATTACTTCTGTTGATTATGTCGAGGACGTACTGGAAAATTTCTGAGAAGTTTCCTTCTAAAACTTCCACAATTACTCGTCTAAAGACACGTGTAACCACATTGGAAAAGATATTAATTAGCCAGTCTGTAAGAACATTTCCTCCAAATTTGAGTTTGATGTTTCTATAAATAAACTTTTGTTACGCATTTTAGATTAGCAGGAGAGTACAATAAAATTGAAAGGTCATAACAATTGGGAAAAGAAATGCACAATATAATTTGTGGCACCTTTTGAAACTTTAAAGTTAAAATTTACAAATAGTTAAATATTTAGCACAAATTTAATGAATACCTGTATTAAATATAAGCATTCCGATTAGTTTATTATAGTTGTTTCCGACAACGGAAGCAGAATTTTGTAAATCAAATCAAAATTAGTTTCGTACATACCCTGTGTTTTGAATGTCGATACTGTTCAGTGTGAAATCATTAGTTTCTGAGTTCAGTCCCAAGTTTAAGAGAAAATCAATGCCTGTTATTCTGGCGTTAATTGTACCTTGAGGTCCAAGGCCCATGAATTTTGCCGAATATTTGTAATCAATCTAAAATATAAAAAATTAAGAACAATCCTCTTCAAAAATAATTTTAGAAACATTTTAAAATCTTTTTTTTAATTTAATTTTAATTTAATGTATTCGAACCTATTGAATTTTCAATTATGTTCAAAAAATTGCTTCCAATTTTATAGGCGCTATATTTGAGCAAAAAAAAAGGTAAAGCAATATCATATGTTATTAATCAGAAATACAATTTACGTTAATTATCATTATAATTTTCTATACCTTTTCTCATTATATATTACCGAAAGTTTACGAAAAGATTCCAATATTTTTTATCATAAAATTCATACAATTTACTTTTTGTGACATTTGTTTAAACTTTATCAAATTATCTTTGCGAAGGAAACTCACCAAGAGAAATTCCAAACTAACTGGTACAGCAATATTAAAATTTCGGTCAGACAAGGTAACAGTTACGTCATCTGTTCTATAAATTGTGGACAAACCTTGCATCCAACCATTGGTGAGGGTCAATTGTCCTTTGTAGGTGATTAAAAGCACTTTCTGTAGTTAGAACAGTTTGATAAGCTATCATTTATTAATTAATTTCTCTTNAATTAATAATTACTTTCAAAAATTGGGTCAGTAATACGATCACTAGATATAATATAGTATTCGATTTTTATCCTTGATATTTCATTGATAAATAGAATATATTGATTTAGATGATTTATTAGATTAATTATGAAAGATGGCATCCAGTAACTTTTCTTAAAATTATTAAATTGTTGTGCTATGTAGGGCTGTGACTGTTAATGCTCTTGAAGTATCTCTTTATATATGTATATAAAAATGTTACACAAAGTCCATTTGAAAGACTGAATAATTGCAATTGTTACTCGTAGAAAATAATTTTAAATCGACATAAAATAACAAAAATAACGATTCTCGATAATACGTTTATAATTTACGTAATTATAATTATAATATCATACGATGATATATCTTATCAGTTAATTAAAAATGAGATCAAGATTACAATGCCATCTGCAGTTACTGAATATATTATAATACAGCGAATTCAAATTTGTTGTTTGATGACACTGAGTTCTAATTTTATTGAACTTGACTGTTAAAAAATTGAATAAATTTAATTATTACCCACTGGAACTCTTCTACAATGTCCTCCAGTTCTACTGGATCAAGTCCGTAAGTAATCGAGTATTCCTTCAAATCCTCGAGAATGGAATCGGCATATTCGTTAAACGACGGTACGTCGGTGGCGTTGGTAGCTAAAGCGCTACAACGGGAAAAACCCGGTCAAGTACAATTAGATAATTCAGCACTTATGTTATTATGGTTCATCCATAATACAAAATTCGTTTAAACATTGTCAAATATTTAAAGAATCACAACAAGTGTAGAAGGACATATATACTTTTATCGATTCTTTTTTCTGCCAATGTTTTCAGATTTTCTATCTAACTTTTTGTCATAATAAACATATTTTTTTTCTATATAATGCACACAATCAAAGAGATCGAAATATGTTTAGATTATTTAAAGAACTAATAAAGACTAATCTCTGATTACAGCACAACACTTGTAGATTAGTCGTATTTTAATCAAATCTGCAGATATGTTAAAATTAACTTCGTTGCAAAGTTTGTTTTTTTTATGGTTTAGGTGAAGAAAATTGAATATGTTGAAAAATGATTAATTAGGAATTAAAGCATCTCTTTTATTATAAAATACCTCATGAAATTCCATCATATTATATTAAAAAATATAGTACTATACATATTATTAGCATTATCTATATACTTCGTACCAATGGAAGAAAGTATGTACTCGTATACAATTGTTTAGCATACGCCATCCCCGAAAATACAATTTTTCCTTATTTCAGGGTTGAGAAAGTGCAATCTAGAAAGAAATCGCATTTACTGTTTATTATCCATCGAGTGGAAATCCACTGGGGAGGCAGTAAAATTCTTTCATAATAACGAGTAAATGCAATTTTACCTAGGAAGGAACTTGAAATAAAATCAAATCAAGGAAAAATATCGTACTTTCGGTAGGGGATGGTAAAAGATTTTTTTCTGTAAATTGAATGAGAAAAAAGAGATACCCTTACCTTACTAGTGCTTTGGTATTGACTTGTACTGGTATGCTGAGATCTTTTGTTTTAAGGGTGGTTCCCCCGAAAACAAGATTAGGCACCAGAACGCAGATGCACAAAACTAACCCTACAGTCGACATATTGCTTTCGGGCAAAAACAAACTGCGGCCTGACAACAACTGTTGAGCTTTAATATCAGCTCCTGCTATCAAGACTGACAAAGGTTGTTTGTGTTTTGGAACACAAATCGCGAACTTAAAAGGCTTAAGTGGCCAATTCAATTGGATTTATCGAAAGTGTTCGAATACGCCTCGAAATAGTTTTATCTGATTTTTTTCTACGAACAAGAGCCCTGATAGGTATAAACACTCATAACATAAAATTTTTGGTTTAAACCTTTAAACTTTTTAAAAATAGGTACAACACAGTCAATGTTCAATGTATCATTCATACAGGTGGGAATTCGTGAAGTGCATTTTTCAATAAGAATTAATTTCCTAGATTTTATAATTTGCAACTTAAGGAATAATAAATTTTCTATTAAAATGAGTAACGCTGAAGCGAGATTGTTATTTATATTTCTTTTTATAAAAATTCATTTATCGATCGATCAAGTATTAGAATCATTATGACCTAATGTACGAACTGTAAATTGTGCAATTTTTTAATGGGTAAATCAATAATGGAATTCAAACAAAAAGGACTTACCGTAGTTAACCACAACAATTTTAATTAACATGGACACATTTTGTCAATATTTTCAACGCAAGACTTACTATCTTAAAAATGTTGTGGTTGTTTGGGTTAAGTTCTTTCTGTTTTAATGGAATTTGTGTTTATCAAATTTATCTAACGGAATTCATTTACTATATGATATTAAACATCTCCTGTAAGATGTCAGCCAAAAATATCTTGCTATTCACTTTTTGCTTTTGATTAATACTGATTTATATTTTGTTAAATGTACCATGGATACTAACATCACAAAGTTTGTTTCTTTGTCGGATTTAGTATTTAGAATTACAAACTGTTTTTCGTTTAAACGGCGTATAACTGCGAACAAGGTTTTAATTTACTTATGTCATCATGATATGTTTCTAACATGCAGAATGCATTGGTGCGAAATTAAAAAAAAATCAGAAAAACATAACCTATTTGAAAACTGGCAAAACTGTTTATGATGAATGGATTTTTCTTGACTAAGAAGCATTCGAAATGTGGTGTTACAGGCTAAGGATGAGGATACCATGAATAGAAAAGATTAGAAATGAGGAGGTATTAGAAAGAGTAGGAGAACATAGGTCTCTGTGAAAGTTAATAAGAAATAGGCGAGATAGGTTGGTAGAACACTTTCTCAGGCATAAAGGGCTAGTTAGAGACAGATTGGAAGCAGAAATAGAATCTAAGAGGGATTGAGGTAGACTAAGATTTAGGTTACTGTTCTAGTTTTAGGGAAATGCGAAGATTAGCTAAGGATAACAAACAGTGGAGGTGCGTATCCAACCTGTCTTAGAACTAACAACCTGATGACAATGATAAGGGAGAATATACAGTATCTTTATTTTTTAGAAACTACCTACCTACTTATAACGATAATTAGGTCGGTAGATCGGTAGGTTTATTGGTCACAGCTCGGCAGTTGGTGGATGGATTGGTGTCTTTGGTGTAGACAGAGAATAGATTGTCTAAACAAGTCAGACTTTTACAGTTGAGTAAAAATATTCTTCTGTTCAATAGTGATGCTTTTTTGGTGTTTAGTTTGGTCAATAATTTTAAGTTGGTGGCAGCTTGTATGCCGAACCGAATCGTGATGTTGTTAAAGAAACCCATAGTGTCTGTAAATAAAGTTGATCTTAGTAACTACCGTACTAGTTGAATTGAAGATAATTAAATTCAGGGTGCCTGTTAATTACATTTAATTCAATTAGTGCGGTAGTTACTAAGATTAACTTTATTTACCTACTTATAATGTTATTGATATTAAATGAACATGTATGAGTATTTATCATTTTCTGTCAAATCATTCTATCGTCATTCGCTCATCAACCGTAAACATTTTTTGATAAATTAGGCTTAATAAGAAAAGAACCAGTATTTTAAAGAAAGGAAAATTAGTTGGGATCGTTTTGAAAATTAATCGAAAGCCTTTAGCAATATTCTTTTGCTATTTTCGATAGAGACTTTGTTCGCGTAGTATCTACGTGGGTTCGAAGGGAAGTAAGTAAGAAGAATCTTATTCTTTTACGACAACATTCGTTCACACTATTCTCGAAAAACACAGCAATTGCTTTTGAAATAACTTTTGAAATTGGAGACCATAGAAAACGACCAAAAACGCCCCATTTATATGTGGTCTCAAGTTCCTATTAAACTATTGGAGCGATGATTAGCAATCGTCACTGCCCTATTATCAAAAATTTACTTTTAAGTGGGTGATTATTAGATTTAATGTATAAAATATCAAGTTTAATATCTTCATCAAAAGCCATTCATTTTGAGTGACAAATTGGTTATTGTTATCTACAGATAAAAATCTATAAAAATATTTATTAGAAAGTTTACTTAGATAGAACACGTCTATTAAGTATAGATAAAGTAAAAATTCTTTATAGGATTACAGGTAATGTTTCAGAAGCTTTAATAGTAAGATCAACAATATTGACTTTTTTAGCCAAAACAATATTGTAGGAATACAAGAATTGGATTATTTTAATGCATTTGTGTCGATATAGCGAATATATTCTCCGGAAGCATTAGTCGCTGATATAGGAAGCGTAATGTTGATGTTGTTTTCATTTAGGGCATCAACTGCTGTTTCAAATAATATCCCCAATCGTCCTTCTAAAATATCAAGGATGGTTCGTTTAAAAACTTTCGTTGTGATTACGGAAACCGTATTGAGAACCCAGTCTGTTAGTTTATTACCATCAAATGAAACAGAAATGCGTCTGAAAATAATAAAAGTAATGAATTAAAAATTAATCTTATTAAATCATTATGTTTTAGACAACTTTTTATAAGCTAAGACCATGGAAAACATTTATTTTGATGGATTATTTTGTAGATACATTTTCTTTTTCGTTAGTTTTACGCATAGATCATAACACTTACGAGGGTGGATTGATAAGTTTCCGGCCTGACCAAGAAAAACAAGGTTTTTAAAAATTTTTTTTTTTTATTTCTCAACATAATCTCCTCCAAGGCTGATACATTTCTCATAGCGGTGTTCCAGTCTATTAATGCCATCTCTATAGACTGATTCGTCAAGCTCCTCAAAATAACCATTTACAGCTTCGATTACTTCTTCATTGTCCGCAAATCTCTTACCGCCAAGCCATTTTTTGAGATTAGGGAACAGAAAATAGTCACTCGGGGCTAGGTCTGGAGAGTAAGGAGGGTGCGGCATCAATTCAAACTTTAGATCGTTGATTTTAGCCGTCGCAACGATTGACGTGTGCGCTGGTGCGTTATCGTGATGAAACAAGATTTTTTTCTTCGCCAGATGAGGTCGTTTAATTTTCACCTCGTGGCTCAAACGTTGCAATAAGTCTGCGTAGTATTGACCAGTGATAGTATTACCCTTTGCAAGGTAATCAATGTATATAATACCTCTTGCATCCCAAAAAACAGTAGCCATAACCTTGTTCGCCGAAAAAATTGTTTTTGCCTTCTTTGGAGTTGGTTCCCCTGGTGAAATCCACTGTTTAGACTGTTCTTTGGTTTCAGGAGTGTAGTGGTGGACCCACGTTTCGTCAACGGTTACGAATCGACGCAAAAATTCGCTTGGATTACGCTTATACAATGACAAATTTGCGGTAGAAATGTTTTTTCGAATCAATTTTTGGTCGACTGTTAGCAAACGCGGCACCCATCTTGCACAGAGCTTTTCCATATGCAAATGTTGGTGCAAAATATGTTGCACACGTTCATATGACATCTTACAGGTCTCAGCTATCTCACGCACTTTCAATCTGCGGTCTCCCAGCACTATTTGATGAATTTTTTCGATCATATCTGGAGTTGTGACCTCAACGGGACGTCCTGAGCGAGGCCCATCAGAGGTGCTCACACGACCCTTTTTAAACTCGGAAACCCACTGCTTAACGGTTGAATATGACGGGGAGGATGTCCCCAGTGTTGAGTCCATCTCTTTTTTAATTTCCTTCGGCGTTAACCCCTTCAAATAAAAGTATTTGATGACAGCACGATTTTCCTGCTTTTCCATTTTTACGAAAACCACAGAGGCGTCTTGTTCAGCGTGCTGTCAAACCTACACTAGCAAGGAGATCGGGCTGAAACTATAGCTACAAGCTATCCAAGGATGGTACTATAGAATGTCACCTCAAGGTAGGCCTAGTGGCGTCATCTCTTGGTTAGGCCGGAAACTTAACAAATCCACCCTCGTATGTCTACATCTAACGGAATTTTCCAGACCTATGATATGTTTTTGTATTATTAGTCCTTATCTTTTTATCACTCATAAATTTAAGTAATAGATGGCACTCCTAGTGCTATTTCTGAACAATTATTAAAGAATTAAAAAATCAGGATTCACGTTATCCTTAAATATTTCTTTTAAGTCCTTTTATTATTTTCATACCAAAAACTTAATGAGAGTCTATTTTTAATATTCCTTACCCTGCATCTCTTACATTAAATTTTGTCAAACAAAACTTTTCTGTAGTTAAATTGTATCCCATGTTCACTGCAAATTCAAGTTTGTTAATCCTACCACTAACAGATCCTTCGGGTCCTTGGTTCATTAATTTTATTCCATACTTATAATTAATCTAAAATGAAAATGTTTAAATGCGGTTTCTATGCCGATAAACAAATTTTGTTAATTTTATAATTTTTTTATAATATTTAATAACAACAGGAATTAAGTTAGGTAGGAAATAAAACTGATAACAAAATAAAATATTATTGCGTGGATTATTGACCATTATTGTTTTTTCACAATTCTTTTATTATTTTGCTTACCACAACATATTCTAAAGCAACTGGGACAGAAATGGTAACCGATTTATCTTTTAAAATTATTGTTATATCGCCGCTTCTGTAAATAGTGGTAAGTCCTTGCATCCAACCATTAGTTAACATAAATTTACCTCCAATAGGAATCACGCTAATGGGCTGCAAGTCAGAAATACATGTGATAGTTAGCAATAAATATCACTAGATGGCTGTATACTGCCCATAGCTTTATATAATATCAATGTGCTTTTACGGAGAAATTTTATTTTGTGAATGAAGTCAAGTTATTGGTTGTAAATAAATTAAAAACGACAAAAAACTTTTTTCTTAATATTTCAAATTCAAATCTTACGCTTTCAAACTTTTCCATCACTTCTGGTAACTGAAATGGATCCATGCTGTTTTCATTCATATATTCCTTCAGTTTTTTGAGTAACTTGTCGGCAAATTCGTTAAAATATCCAACATTTTCAATTCCCTGTATCCCCCTTCTGTAACTAATATTTTTGAGAAATTACTGTTCTTGAAAATTTCTCATTACCCGCTGTATATACACACATATAGTAACGTACTTACGCAATTTTCTGGTTAATTTCATCGTCAAATTTATTTTCTAAATCAATCTGAAAATTAGCTTTTACAATTTTGTTTTCTGGAAGCGAATAACAAGCTGCTAATAGACCTAAAAGTACGCCGTATTTGTACATTATTGAAAAAATATGTGTCCGATACAATCTGAAATAGCAGTCACAATAAATAGATTTTTCTTCAGCAATTATATTTATAATATGCTTCTGTTTGTAGAGTAAATAAAAAGTAATTGTGTTGTAAAATAAATTTCACTCGATTCACCATAAAGAACTTTTCCTATATCATTATAGTTATTATCAAATAGAGTAAAGGTCCGTTGATCTATTTTTAACTAGTTTTATCCTTGAACTTGCAATAAACAATTTTAATAAAAGACAAATTAATTTAAATCTGTGAGATCACCTTTCATACAGTTTCTTTTTATAATATAAAGAATGCGCTATTTTGGAAAAGGTGTAGGCCATATGTTCCTTCCAAAATTTAATTATTTATAAAATAAGAAGGAAAAATAAAAATCGATCTCCCTCCCTCTTTATTAACTACCTACAGATTAACAATTTGTTTTCTCAACCGAATATAAAGTCAACTCAACAGGAAAAAAGAATTGTATCTTTGATTTTTCATTTATTTTAACATTTCTTAAATCATGTCTGCGCTGATTTCCCAAACAATATGTCATGTTCATGATATGAGGATTTAATGTATTGGTTACGTACTGTTACAAAATAAATATAAAATATATAATATTGAATTAAGTATTTCTAAACGAATCCAAATCAGAGAAAATTTTGTAAGTTTTGATGAGTATACGTTCAAGGTTTCTACTAAATACTTAGTATCAAGTCATCGGGGGTAGGTAGTAAACCAAAACAACTATTACATGTATTACCTCGATAACACTTGTAAAATAAACATGTTTTATTTAATTGTTCTACAATTATACATAAATAATACAGTATCTGTGTTGTACCAACGGGATTTAAGGGAACAATTTTTCCAACGCTGAATTGATAATTTCAACAACATCTTCTAAAACACCGTAGACGTTTTTCTCAAGAAGTCTCCGAATGATGCCTTTGAAAAATGGAAGGGTGATGTTGCTTATAAGCGATGCCAGCCAATCGGTCAAAATATTTCCGGAAAAGCGAAGTTTAATTGATCTGAAACATAATTAGTCTTGAATTAATATAATATGTAGATATAAATGTATATTTTTAGTACTAGCGACCGGGATGAGCTTTCTTTTCGAGGGATAAATCATTCGAAAAAACATTTCGAGCTAGACGATTTAAACGAACTATATACTCCAAATAAACATTCTAACAAATTCGTGACGCTTTCGCTCATGAAGCGCGGCTGTTGTGACTGATTAGTCATGAACCTTGTTTCGTTTAATTTTAAAATTTTCTTTTTAGTCGTTAGAGACAGACTGCTTATTATTATTAGAAAATACCACAAATAGTGCTGTAAACGCCATCTGTAGTAAGATGCTACATTTTAGGATTACGTATGCTCCAACAAGGTCCATTTGTATGGATATCTACTTGCTGAAACGAATCCCGGCGTAGCTAACAAATGGGCCTTGTTGGAACATACGTAATCATTAAATGTAGCATCTTACTACAGATGGCGTTTACAGCGCCATTTGTGGTATTTTCTAAAACGCACTGTTACTGGTAAAAGTTGGTCTGTGTTCTGTCGGAGCTGTCTGCGACGCGCTGATGAGATCCAAAAAGATCGAAATCGCGATCCGCGTCTGGCAGTTTCGACAGAATACAGACCACTTCGAATTATTTTATTTCTTATTATTATTACTCAATATTGAAAATTTCCATAATTTCAACTGTATGCAAGGTAGTCAAATATCTCTTGAATGTTCTTTTGCAAATAATAACAGGCCGATTTGGTCCCAATGGTCATGTTCTGCGATGATCTTCGAGCCAACCACCTTTGTTAATTTTATTATTAATGCTCTTCAATTGTCTGCAGCTTACATCATCATACCTTGTTGGGGGTTTCCCCTTATTGACTTCTGGCTCGTACTCATCATTGCACACCAGGTATTGGTGGTGGCATCAGAACAATTTTTGATTTTGTCACATAATTTAGAGTGAGTTACGTCTTGTCCTTCTTCTTCTTAACTTGCGTTTTTAATTCATATTTTCTTCGTTGTGTCTGTACTTGTAATCCATTATTTCATAGTTAATAATTCATTTGTAAATAAAGTCTGTATGTACAGTTTTATATCGAGTTTCATTCACTCCGTTAAAATCAACATTTTGAGAAAATACTGCTCGTGATTTCACGGCAAACAAACCTTTTATTCTCTGTCCCGGCCCTGCAGACAGCTTTTCAATAAAGCAGGTGGAATGTGGAATGGCGAAGTTAGCTTAGGTTACTGGGTCGTCATTATACAACCCACGCATTATAAACTTTTGGTATAACCGTTTTGAAAATGATGAAAACCGTAATAGCAAAAATGCAGGCGCGATTGAGAAATTCAATTTATTCTATTTAATCGTTTGTTATTCTTCTAAAGTGAGATAAGTATTTCCTGTGGAGAAGCTTGATAATATTGTAACTCTTGTAAAAACATGAAGAAAGTACCATTACAATTGCAAACAAAACACTTGGAAACATATTTATAAATGCGGTAATTGTTCTGTTTTGTAAAACAAGATATCATATCAAAATCAAACAAGGAATACATACCCAAGTACTGGTTCAAGGGTAATATAATTTGATCTTTGTGATAATCATTCATTTTTTAATACTCAGGTATTTGCTGCACCTGTTCATTTTTACGTTATTTAAGTAGTACTTTGTGCTAATAATATGGAATGTGTGGTTGTTGAGGTTTACCCAATTTTATTGATTTTAAAGGTGTCCAATGAGGCTCGGTGTCCCGTTAAATTGTAACCAAGTCCAAAAGTAAAGGTAGTTTCTGCTACATCTCCGGTTATGCCTCCCTTTGGTCCAATATTCATTAATTTGGCTACATAATTATATTTAATCTGTGAAAATTAATAATTAATATACTTAGTCAAATTTATTTTTATTTTCAGTAAAAGTAAAAGTGATATCGAAATTTCAAGGGATTTTTTTCAAGATCTTTATGCAATTTGATAGATGAGTTTTTTGTATTATCAAAAATATACTTACAGATAAAGAACGGATTCCAACAGGTGCTAGTATACTCAATTGCTTATCATCGTATGTAATTTTAACATCTCCTTTGCGTACAATGGTGGATATTCCACTTAATATACCATCCGTCAGATTTAATACACCAGTGTAAGTAATAAGTACGGGTTTCTGTGCGAAAACAATTACTATTATACTATTAATAATTTTCGCCAACACAGACTAATTTATTACCTAATTCTAAACATCGTATTAATTGATTAGTTTTAAAGATATAATTATTTTGCAACTCAAACATTAACATTTTATTTAATATTCCCATCAGCCCGAGATAAAAATGTTCAGTTTCTAAGAGTCTCTAAAAGCGAGACTCGAGTCTCCGTCTCTCATCGAGTCTCTCTGGCGTCGCTGAGAAAAACTGTTTAGCGTTTCTGAACGAGAGACTCGAGGCGCTCATAGAGAGATTCTCATTTCGTATCCAGTCTCTGAACGAGAGACTCGAATCTCTCAATAAGTAGTGTCTCGATTGACATGGTTAAAATTTTCAAGTTCAACATATTTCAGAGATCCCAGTCTTTCTACGAGAGACTCGAGTCTCAATTTTTCAGTTTTATTCATTCAGTCTCTCTGTGAGAGACTCGAATCTCTGAATTAACAATTTTATCGTTCGAGTCTCTCATACAGAGACTNTATCGTTCGAATCTCTCATACAGAGATTGTGAGAGATTCATAAAAAACACCTAGGCAATAACTGAGAGACTGTGAGAGACGCTCTCAGAGACGCTGAAAGACTCTAAAAGACTCTGAGAGACTGGAGAGACACTGAAAATTTTTGTCTAGGGAGACACCACACAAATAAATTTCCTTGTACCTATTATCTTCAGTGTCATTTTTTTTTGTAAAAAAAGTACAGTTTCAAAAAGATTTTCAATAAATTTCTTACTGCAAATTAGACTATAAGAAACCCGTCAAAATTTTTAACTGGTATTATTTAATTTCAAATGGTTTAAGTTCAGTTTTGTTTAATTATCATCTTTAGTATAAATTTTCTAAAGGACCCTTCTGTATAAAGAATTAAATATAACTTTTCATCATGGAATTACTTACGTATGAAAACTGCTCTGAAATACCCGGTAATTCCAATTCATTCAGCCCACGAGTAGACGTGAAATTATTCAAGTTGGCCACAAGTTTATCAACATAATCATTTATTACTGCCACAATAGGCCCGCTGCTTCTTTCCATGTCATTAGACGCATAAGTCCTTTCAATAAAACAAAAATGTTTTTAGTTACAGTAAAATGTTTATTTGTATGCTTATTTAATATTAGAATACGCTCAAAAGCTTTACAGAGATGTAGAATACATATGCTAAAATTAAATATTAAAATAGTTGGACTTACTTTTCTAACTCTTCGTTAAGTTCACGTAAGACTTCTGGCGAAAAAATATCATTTTTAGCGAATTCGTCAAACGTAAATTCATCAGGAAAATCTATATCAAGTTCATATTCTGCTGAGGAAATTGCTAAAAAGCAAATCAGGGAAATCAGAATGAAACTTTTCATAGTGAACCGTCAAGTATTAGCACTTCCTCTTAACTTACTGATCTCCACCCTGAATGAAACAAGTTTTTATCGAATATCAAAATCGTATTTCATAGGAAAATGAAAAACCATGTGTCGAAACTGACTGTAATGATCATTTATTATCTTACGATTACAGATATAAAATTAGATGTCCCCTCTTCGATAAGAAAAGCAAAATCAGAGATAGTTGTTAAAGTAAATTTTGAATTAAGGTAGCAGAATAATGTTCATCCTTATTATCTGAAACTTCAGATGTTCACAATGTCCAAAGTGTATCAATTAAGAACAATTGATTACATTCGCATTTAAATACTTATCATACATTGATGTATATCTTGATTAATGGTTCAATTTGTACCATCTACTTTGTAAAACCACTTTTTAAAAAACTTTAATTGTAATACTCTGACTGGCATTATCTTTAATTGTTTACATGATTTTGAATTTACAATTAAAGTATTTACTTTTTTACTTTGTGCTGAAATACTGGGCGTATAATGGAACAATACGAAGTATACAAAATAATTGTTTAATTAAGTTTAAACCTTCTTGTGTATTTATAGTTATTAAGATGCACAGTAACAAAACTTCGCTCTTCTATTACATTTCTTAAAGATTGTACAAACGTATAAAATAACCACTTTTCTGTTAAAAATTATATGCGATCGATTTAACTTTCTGAAGAGTTAGAGTTCTCTACAACTTCATCCGACCTTATTAATTAATGAATGAAAACGTCATAAAAAGCTTTTTTGCTTTATGGACAAAGTTGGAATAATTGGGGTAGCAGAACGAACGATTAAAATGTTAAATTAGAAGATATTCGAGCTGGAACTAAACAGTTGCAAAGAAATAGGCGAACCTAAATGCATATATTCAGGTGTGTAGTTGGTTGCATATTTATTCATTTTAATAATGTAGAAAACTATGATTATAAAATTACCAAAAATGTCTCCAAACTTAGAATGTAATTGATATACCACCGTCCAAATTAAAATGACCTCATTAGGTAATATATTATTTCAGAATTTGTGTATATAACTTTTTGTTTGTAGAATAAATAGTAAGTATTTCACAAGATTATCATAATGCATCTTGATTATTGAAGTCCTATTCCTAATTCTGAAATATTAGTCTTCCTTGTTGTTTTTAATCATTTTGAATCACTTTGAAAAAACATGGCAGGTAGGTTTCGATAACTACCTATCTTTAAACTATTTCGAATACCTTTATCTGTTTTTCATTGTATCTACCTTAATTTATTTTCAAAATTAAGTTATATTTTCTTTAAAAGTGGCAAAGTCATTATGGATAGGTTGTAAATGAAAACAACTGATATAGGACATAATAGTTATGTAGACATATTATTTTATTTTGTTGTTTTTATAATACAATTTTATTTATAGTACAATGTCATCAAAGTAGTAACTGCATTTAAGGGAATACGTTTGCCAGTGCTGAATTAATTATGTCAACAATATTTTCTAAGATAGCGTACACATTATTATTTAAAAGTGTCTGAATGATACGTTTGAAAAGTGGAAGGACAATATTGGTTACAAGCGATGCCAGCCAATCAGTCAACACGTTTTTTGAGAAGTAAAGTTTAATTGACCTGAAACATAATTAGTCTATTAACAAAAACGCACTATGCGAAATAAAACCACGAGGAAGAAAAAGAGATAATGATGCACAAATTTTATAAAGTACCAGCAGTGTTCGCTACCTGTGACTAGCCGAGAAAGATAAACATATCTTTCTCTTCCTTGTGGTAGGTATACGGGTTAGTATATTTATTGTTTTGGTAATAAATAATAATAGAAAAGATTTAAAATTTNTTTTTGGAAAAACTGAATATGTATAAGGAAAGGCTTTGATTGCGTATCATATTAAATGTAAAAATCAAGATTATCATTTTTGATAAGAAAAACACAAGAAGACAATTGTTAATTTTGAGTAAAAGTAACAGGAAAATCTTATCAGTTAAAGTTTTTGGTGTTTACATCAAGCATATGGGTACTCTTAATTTAATTACTTTTAAATATGATTCGTTACTTTGCCAACGAAGAATTGTCACTGCTGGCGTCTGAACCCGAGACTGAGGAATTGCAAAAAATAGGAAAAGACGTGTTAATTCAATAATATATAATAAACAAACCACTCAGAAACAACAAACGCATGTAGGTAATTGTTTTCTTTTTGTAAAAGGAGATATCGTATCTTTGTATAATCAAACGTGGAAGAGATACTGGCTTTGAGTACTGGTTCAATGGTAATAAAATTTGACCTTTGTAATTTTGAAATAATCATTTTTTTAATACGTAGGTATTTACTGTGCCCATACGCGTATTGTTACGCCATTTATACAGATAGAAAGAGAAATAAAGAGAAATAATTTTTTGTTAAAGAACATGAAATGATGTTTACCCAATTTTATTGATTTCGAAGAAGTCCAGGGAAAATCGGTGAACCGTAATATTGTAACTAAGTCTAAAAAGAAACTTAATTCCTTCAGCATCTCCGATTATCTCTCCTCTCGGTCCAAGTTTCATTATTTTGGCAATATAATTATATTTAATCTGCAAAATTAATAATATAGTCAATTTTATTTACCAATGTAGGTATGGCTAAAGCTACAGTTCCGCGGCTCGTGGCACGAACCGTTTGGTCCACCATTTCTATTGACCTCACCTAACCCACCCCGTCCGTGGAGCGACTCCATACTCCTCATATTCGCATGAAAGAATTTTGAAATGATCATTTGAAAATGTCAAGCCAGAAGATTTTCAAATAATTATTTCAAAATTCATTGCACGAGGAGCCGCTCTACGGTGCTGTTGCAGCAGACCTCTGCTTCTGCTTCCGCAATTACGGAAGTTCCGCATACTTTTTCACGTCCGCTTCTGCATCTGGTTCCGCATTTTTATAACGGGAGCTTACCGGAACTTTAGAAAATGTTATTTCTCATCTTTCTTAAAATCAATTCAAGTCAAAAAAATTTATTACTTTTATCTGTTCGCTGAATTTGACCGTTTTGAAAAAACACAATTTAAATGGAATTGCTAGTTGTAACGTTGCTTGTTGGGCATGTATCCACGCCAGCTGTAAGCTGTAAGTTAAAAGTGTAATTTTGAAGCCAAAAACAATCGTTTCCGCATTCGCTTTCGTTTCCGCTTCCGCAAAAATTTACTATTTACTTCTATTTCCGTTTTTGTTTCTGCCATGACACTTCCGTTGCATCATTACTCCTCGGGCCGTATAACAGGTTAAGTCCATTTGTAGCGCACCGCACCGGAATTGAAATTGATTTTGTTTCAATAATAATTATAATAATTTAGTAAGCGTTAATATTATTTGTGGGTGAGTATACTTACAGATAAGGAACGGATTCCCAACGGTGCTAGTATACTTAAATGTTTATCAGCATATGTAATTTTAACATCTCCTGTGCGTACGATGTTGGATATTCCACTTAATTTACCATCCGTGAGATTTAATAAGCCGGTAAAGGTAATAAGTGAGAGCGGAGATCTCTACAAAAAGAACTTGTTATCATTAGTTTGGATATGACTAAGCAAACAATCTAGGCACTTAAGGATTGGAAGGTTTAGATTAGTGTGAAGAACCAACACCGATGTTTCGCCGCTACTTGGGGTCTTCATCAGGGTAGATTCCTTAAGTGCCTAGATTCGCCGCTTAGTCTTACCAACTAAGTTCTTGATGCTGCAGTTTTACTTAACCAATCTTAAATATAGGTATGCAAATTGAGTTTTGAATAATTCTTCTTCAGAAAAGGACTTTAAATGGATTCTTAACACCAGACTAAATTAAATTAATTATTACTCATTTTGATTGTTATTAGGGATTTAATCGCAATTTTTTGGTCCAAGTTTGTTTAAGCAACATCTTCGATCTAAAGGGACATTCTCCGTCTATACATATGAGATAAAGTGTAACTTTTGATACGGAAATAACATACGTATTCCAGTTTCTCTGATACACCTGGTATGTCCAATTCATTAAGGCCCCGACTTGTAGTAAAATTGTTCAAGTTGGTTAGTAATTTATCAACATAATCATTTATTACTGCCACAGTTGACTTTGCGTTTGCTTGATGGACCCGACCTGATGATGTATAGAACCTTGCAATAAAAAAGAATAGTTTTACATTACAGTAGAATATGCATTTAATATTAAATGCGTTCTAACATTATATATATGAATATAAATATATGCGTATATTTGCAATCAATTTCGAATGCTCTAATTTTTCATCATCATCATCATCATAATCAACATCATCATAAGGTTGTGAGTTCTAAGACGGGCTGGAAACGCACCTGTACTTTTTCGTATCTTAAGCTAATCATCGCATTTCCCTAAATTTAGAACATCCCACATCCTTAACTATTTGTGAACTTTAATGTAATCTAGGTCTACCTTTCTGTTTCTGCTTCTAATTTGTCTCTAACTCTAACTATCCTTTCGTGCCTGAGAAGGTGTCCTTCCTATCAACCTATCTCGTCTATTTCTTATTGACTTCCATAGCGTCGTCTTCTGTTCTCCTACTTTTTCTAATCTAAAACCTCCCCATTTCTAACCTTTTTTATCCATGGTATCTTCATCATCATTCGTATGTAACACCACATTTCGAGCTTTTCTGATCTCTTCTTTTTCACCACGCCCGCCGCCCAAATTTCACACCCGTACAGCGCCATATATATTATACAACTTTAACAATCAATTTCGAATTTCTAAATTAATCGTTCGCGGGCATTGAAATAACTTTTTTTTTGTTAAAGGTGTCCTTTATATTCACTAATAATAATTAATTAATAAAATATTTAAACTTACTTCTCTAAATGTTCAGCAAATTCACCTAAAATTTCTGGTGAAAAAATATCATTTTTGGCAAATTCGTCAAACGCAAGTTTATCAGGAAATTCTATTTCAAACCCGTTTTCCGCGAAAGAAAACGCGAATAAACAAATCAGTGGTAACAGATTGAAACTCATTTGCATGATGTACCTTCAATTATTAGCACCTCGTTACTGACCTCTTCCCTAAATGAAACGCGTATTTATCGAATATACAATTCGTATTTTTTGGAAAAACTGAATATGTATAAGGAAAGGCTTTGATTGCGTATCATATTAAATGTAAAAATCAAGATTATCATTTTTGATAAGAAAAACACAAGAAGACAATTGTTAATTTTGAGTAAAAGTAACAGGAAAATCTTATCAGTTAAAGTTTTTGGTGTTTACATCAAGCATATGGGTACTCTTAATTTAATTACTTTTAAATATGATTCGTTACTTTGCCAACGAAGAATTGTCACTGCTGGCGTCTGAACCCGAGACTGAGGAATTGCAACTGTAACATAGGGTCAGTTTATATTGAATGTGCTAGACGTTTGTGTTTTGATAAATAAAGTCGTTTAATTAGTAAAATCTAAAATTAAAGTCAATAAGAAATAATAAAATTTCTAATAATATTTAATAAATAAAAAACAGCCAAAAAGGGATGAAATTGTGTTTATTTGTTACGTAATTTCCAACCGACGTTTCGCCTTTTTGGTCCAAAAAAATATGTACCTACATTGCAACCACCGATGCTGTAACTTGCCTCCTTCATTTTTTATCTAACTGAATAGAATACTTCAATAAAAATACGCCGTGAAAATGACATGAATTTAGTTGATAGTGCCGTTTCGACATGTTGTGTACAAACACAATAAAATTCCGTTGGTTAAATCTATTTCACTATTAAAACATGGTATTGTAAAGAATAAGAGTCAGACATTGAAATTGAGATGAAAGGTCACTTTTTCGAATGTTGATGCGATTGCTTGTTTATATTTTGTAAATCAAAAGTGCATAAAACTAATATTTAAAAACATACATTTTGGGTAGTATAAGTAAAATAACCATTTAACATTTAATGCTTATTGTATTTTCAATCCCGAAACATAAAAGCGAACAAATTTAATAAATTGTTTTTAGCACTATTAGTTGATTTTAGTTGAAGGCTGTGGACCTTTTAATAAGTGATCAACCTTTATCGGTTATTTATTAAAGAAATTCACACAACCAACAAGAGAAATTGTTTATTTCAAATCTTTTCTATAACAGTATTCTATTAATTTGTATATTGATGAACCTATGTTCATATTTTGCGACATTATTTCGTATTATGCAGATGCACAATTCTTTGATAATCATGCTTACAGCAACTGATAAGAATCAAAATGAGAAATCTAATATCTAAAAGAAGTAAACTGATCTCTTTGTGCAATTACATTTGATTGTAGGTATACAAATTTTTATTAATAATTAATAGGTAGGTACATAACAAGAATACGTAAAACAAACAAATGTACAGTATCTTCAGGTGGAAGAATGATCCTTCCATCTATCTTTATTAAAATAAAACAACAACAAATTCAATCAAAATACTGTATTAGTATTGTCTACAAATATATCCTTTATTATTTTTTTTATTGTATGTCATGTACTTATCCATGCAGTTCTTTGTTCAAAGATTCTACGACAGTTACTACGGCGTCGTATAGCTTCTCGTTCACAACTTTTTTGATGGTACCCTTGAATGATGGAACCAGGCCATTTGTGATAATCTTTAGTAACCAGTCGTCTATCTTGTTGCCTTTGAAGCTCAATTTTATGTTACTAAATAAATCAAAAAGATATTATTTACTTTTTGACGTTTTTCTTGCTTATTCTTGTTTGGGCTGGTATGTACTATTAGGGATAGAAGTGACAACCAACCCTAAGTTCGAATTTAGCGTGTTGGTTAATCATAAACACAGGAATATAGGGACGAAACAAAAACTAGCGGTGACGAGGCTGTCAGGGAAAAAGCCAATAAAATTTAGGTACCACTCTAATAGCTCTATGAATCCTTCTCTCATGCATATATTGACATTTCAATCCCTATATTCCTATGTCTATAGGTTATATACAAAAGAAACTAATTGAGAACAAATTGGATTATTACTAAAATTTTCAAATGCCCAGACATTTACAGAAAAATTGCTGTTGCAATATTGAACAACCATCAAATTGGAGTATCAATAATCCCTATTAGTCCAGAATAATATGTAATTGTATGTTTATTTTAAGTTTAAATTCGTTTACACAGATTCTGTGCATAGAATTAATTTGGAGCTTTTTATGCTTCATTGTGTTAAGAAAGACTATTTAAATTGAACATATTCGATGATTTCTTTGTTTTTTCGTTTTCTGACGAATATCTGTGCTATACTTCGTTTAGTTTCTGTAGCGATGTGACCTTCAAGGCCAGAGTACAGTACTACACGGAAAAATTGACCATTTTATCCACTACAATTGCATTCCTCAAATGTGCTGTTATTGGTACCAATTACTACTGAAAATATCAACGAGGTGTTTATTTATATTTGAAGACATATTAAAGGCTTCAACGCTTATTTTCGACTCGCACTACTATTCATGCTTGAACAAAACTTTTGGCAGGTACTGTATGAAAAAGTATGTTTAATGAACAAGAGTCGAGAGTATAATGAGCTTTTTTCTCCCTACCTACGATTTGGCCAGCGCGCATCCAAGACATTGGAAGAGGCAAATCGCTAGAGAAAGTAAATGAAGTATATTTAGGTAGGTACTTACCCAATATCTTCTAAGGCGAATTCCTTTAAATCGACTACCAAGTTGGTTAAGTTGAGACCAACATCCACTTTTAACGTTGTTGACGACGCTTTTCCAATTACCCTACCAGTTTGATGAATTTTCATAATTTGTGCTCTGTATTTATAATTGACCTACCAAAAATATGTAAAGGAAGAAATTATTTATAATTTCAAAGAGGAGGTACTGTGTACCTAAGCTTACACTCGGTAGAAGTTTTATGTTTATGTTACATATTTATTTAACAGGAATATATATTATGTCAAATATGTGCAATTTCTTACCGCCTGTACTGTAAATAAGCAATTGACTCGACAATTTTATGAACTAAGCAAAATTCTGTACTGGGGTGAAATGTGAGCCTTAAGAAACTTGATAATTAAATTTTCATTTCCATGAAATAGGCAAATTTAAATGAAATAATGACGTATTTCATTAAATCGACGAGGCCGTTGCTTATTTCGTAAAAGTAAAATTTTTCCTAGTACACGTAATAAGTAGATAATTTTATTTTCAACGTTCCAAAAGAAGTATGACTTTAAAAATCATTAATATATATAGTATGATTGTTATTACTTACATCAAGTACGTCATAACGAAGTGGAACCTGAATACTAAGGTATTTGTTGCTATAGCTGGCCACCACATCTCCATCGCGTTTGATTGAGGAGACACTTGCTACACTACCTTCGGTTAGTTTTAAGGATCCCTTGTAGGTTATCAATGCAAATTTCTATAGAGACAGTCTATTAATTAAATCGTATAGATATCTTTCTTATAACTTTATAAGAAGGTTTGCTGAAATGTGTCAAAATTGATCGGGTGCCAAATTTATCGTAAGGCCACTTTCACACAGTGCGATAGCGACACGATTTGTCGTATCGTATCGGAACGCCTCTTTCACATTATGCGACTAAATATTGTTTCGAAAACGTTCCAAGTTGAAATGCGGGTCTACATATCCTCGCAGTGTTGTCTAGTTTAGTTAGTTAGTTATATGTATCCAAAGAAACGAACAACAGTAAATCGATTATTCCGTAATGGAATGTTTTCATTTTGAGAAAGACATGTTAATGGCTGCAAGTCGCACAACGATAAGTTGGCGCGACATACGACATGTGTGAAAGCATACATTTGATTACATTGGATATAAAACACAAAGCACACAATTTTAATATCGGATCGCATCAGTGTGAAAGCGTTCACCTTAAATAGGTACATATTTTGGATGTACTTTTGTGTCGTTGCGATTTACTGCATGCAGTTATCGCACTTCGTGTAAGTGTTTGACCATTTACTCTAAAATTATTGAGATATTCTGTTTGCATCATTGACATAGTATGTACCTACAATCCAATCCAAATAGTTATCGCAATAGTTTATTGAATTTGCTTGCAATTTAAAATATACCATATGAGCTAAGGAGTGTCACCTTGCGCAGTCCAAGAGTGTTTTATTAATTTTTTTAAAAGAACGCTTCAACCACGTGTAGACGCTTTGTTATTGATATTCCGATACGTAGGCAATCGCTTGCCTTAAAAACCGATAATCCATCGGTAGCACGTGTTCTGTTCCCGGCCGATTAACGACTTTTTTCGNTCAGACTGTTCTTCTAAAAATTTTAAAAATAAGGTTGTATCGTGTAGGGGATACTCCTTTTATGTTTTGACGAAAAAAGACTAGAGACAGGAGGTGAATCTATCTATATGACTTGATTACTGTAAGAGCGTCACCAAGTTGTGTATCTGACAACTGATAATACCAAAATTGATACGTATAGTCGTTTCGTTTTCTATCGTTTATTAGAGACAATGCTGTGTAGAATCATTCGTTTGGAATTAAATAACTACTCGTATCTGACAAATAAGTATGAACTTCAATCAGTACCGATCGGATTTTTTCATCAAACAGACTATGTCGACGATGCACACTCAATCTTATATTAACAAGAACCTTTTATCGTTGGTAAAAGAAATTTTACTGGTTATGAGACGGGGGTGCTCAATTTTTTTTGGCAATTAACGAGTGCTGCTGCATGTGTTGCATTTTTTTCTTAAAATCTTCACGTTGTGTCGCGTATAATTTTGTACCAAATCAATTTTAACAGCTTCGGATAAGTAAGTCTGCTTCTAAATTACTTACACGTTTAAATGAAAGTTGAGCATCAGGTGTTTCAACAGTATCCAATCCTTTCTCGACTATTAAACTTTGAACTTGGGATATTACATTATCAGCATAATCGTTTATGACGGCTGTAGATGATGGGCTGACTGAACTTGAATCTGACCGCAGCTCAGAACTATTCAAAAACGAAAAACAATATAAGACTGGTTTAGTATCAATTTCGGAATGATTATAAGTTTAATATTTAATGTGTATGAATTTAACACAAATTGCTAAATTCTTAGATATGGATATCTTTAAAAATTTGTTCCTGTTACAAATGCAAAGGATGGTATTTTTACACTTACGACCACATATAAATTTAGAGACCCTGTTGGTATTGACGGAAGCTACTGAATTAAGAAAAAAGCAAAAGTCCAAAGTATGACCAACCACATCTAAAATTTCAAAGTTAACACGTTTATTTGAGGCATTTGTGGTTTCTTCTCTACTTTGAAAGACGTTTTGATCTTCTATTAAGTATTTTAAATTGGTTTAAATAAATAAAACTTCTGTTCTCATATTCTTTCTAACCTTTTCTATGCGCGGTATCGTCATATTCGCCTGTGACACTATATACGAGGGTGGATTGATAAGTTTCCGGCCTAACCAAGAGATGACGCCACTAGGCCTACCTTGAGGTGACATTCTATAGTACCATCCTTGGATAGCTTGTAGCTATAGTTTCAGCCCGATCTCCTTGCTAGTGTAGGTTTGACAGCACGCTGAACAAGACGCCTCTGTGGTTTTCGTAAAAATGGAAAAGCAGGAAAATCGT